TCAGTTACCAGGCCAGAGTGTACCTTCTTTGATGAAGACAACAGAAATGATTTCTAATATCTATGAACATTGTTAGTGCCCACCATTTCCTCCCTGCTCCTATCAATGCCACATACATGCTGTGCTCACATTCCCCGACATCAGGCAGCCAATGTAGTTATAGTTCTGAGGGCACCAGGTTACTTACAGAATAGGATTCTCCCAGTCTCCATGACAAATGACAGGTTTTCGCATCTGTAATTTCCCAGAATCAGTTTAGGTGGTCCAACTGCTGGGTACAACAAACTATTTAATAAATACTGGGCTTTCTTGGACTTAGAGTTAGGGTCTGAATTTAAATTCCTAATCTAATTTAAGTAGCAGACACAAATTTGCTTTTTAAGTCCACCCACTAGTTCTGATATGGACTAAAATCACAGTAAGCTTAGTTGATTCTGATTTTTAAAAATCATATGGAATCTTACCCACAGACTAATTTTAGACAGTAACCACCAAACTGTAAGTTTCTATTTCAATATGCACCAAAACACACCAAACAATCAAAATAACCCTTTCTTGTTTAACTGCATTCCATTAAATGTTTTAAGCTCTGGAAGGGACCTTTGAGTTAGTGAGGACCCCCCCACACACACCCATTTCCTAAATGAGGGCCGTGAGGCACAGGGAGGTCAGTGACTTGTCTGAGGTACTTGGAGAGAGGCAGAGTCCCTGCCAATTGCAGCTGGTCAGGCCTTGCCGGAGGAGGCATGCCCTCAAAGAACATAGAGACCAGTCCTAATCACTTTATTTCTCAGACTGACACGCAGACTCACACTCTGGGGCTCACACCCTTCACAAGCACTCAATAAAGAACAGAGAACTGCATTCTGAAAAGCAACCAAATAACTAAAAACATATCAATGTGCACATTGAAAAGGAAAATGCAGCATTATCAGGGTCCTCATGCAAACCAGAACTCTTTCTCTCTTCAACCAGAGTACTTTTTAGTCATTCGACATCACGCATCTCATATGTAGCTTACTGTAAACTTTAGGTAAATCATAAAGTTTATGATCTACTTTTAGTCACCAAAAATATTTTCCCTTCTGGCATTTTAAAAGTGTAAGTTTTTAGAGCACATAAAAAAAGAATTTGCCAGCAGGCATTTTTTCTCCCACAAACATTATTAGTTGGTGCTTTTTAAAAAATAATAGCAATAGTTCAAAGTTCCCATGATAAGTGCCTTGACATATCAAGTTTTTGTCTTTTCAGTATCACAAAAAGCAGTGCTGTTTTCCCAAAGGATAAGCCAGGGATGTTTCTTCTTTACAAGTACTTAACTTCACAAGAGATTTTACTTAACAATAGCACTTTACTTTGGAAGTAAAACTCTATCCTTTAGCTTGTACTTTTAATTTGGGAAATTAGATGTTCTCTCACATAGACCTTAACATTGACTGCTTCATTATACCCTATATTAGACATGTTGCATTTGTTTTCTTTTCTATCACTTGTATCCTGGTATAAAAATCATACCAAGTGTTTTTTAGAGAATTATTAACATATCAAACATCTAAGTTAAATCAGGCTTCTACAAGAAAGCAATTTCTTGAAATATATATAGAAATGAGAGCAGAGAGAAAGAGTAGCCTATTGCTCAAGCAGCAAGTGATTTTGCTTGAATCATCGAGCAAAAGTTCTATTAGGCAATGTTATAACTACAAATAATGCCAAATATTCCTAATGTTTAACATTTTCAAACTCAAGAGTGTTGTTTAAGCTAACAAGTCTACAGCAAAAATATGTTTATTGTAATTCGGCCTAATTTTGCAACACTTTCTCACAAATTCCAGTGAGCAGAGAGCTCTCAGAATCAGGTACACATCTGATTGTACATATAAGTGAAAACCCAAGGATCTGCCAAGAGGGTGGAAAGAGTGACAACCAATTGCTCTCTATGGATTACACAACTTCTGAAGTTTTTTTAAAAACAGGTTCTGCTGAACAATTTGTTTTTCATGAACAGAACATCTTGATAAGAACATAGTCAGACGCTGGCCAGTGTGCTCAATGGATTGTCCTGCACACCAGGAGGTTGCTGGTTTGATCCCCAGTAGGGAGTGTACTGTTTCTTTCTCCCTCTCCTTTCCTCTCTTTCAAAAAATCAATAAAACTATTCTTTTTTAAAAATAAAACTATTCTTTAAAAAAAGAACAAAGAATCACAGTCTTAGAAAAGGAAAAATCTACTTAGGGCTCGGTTTTTAGGGATATTTTCCAACACTGGGTCACAAAATGCCCCAGCCTCCTCTTGCCTGAGATGAGACTTTGGGGAAAGTGACAGAGATTCCATGTTGTGTTGTATATGGGAAGAGGAAGAAAGGAGTTAGAAAACTGTGTCATCTCTGAAAGTACCCTGGGCTGTCAGATGCAAAATAATTTTATGTTGGCCGCTATTCAGACTCATGAAGACTGGATGAGGCAGAAGTTTCTTTTAATTAGTTATTGTCATAAAACTTTAATTCGGCTTAAGACCCTCTGAGTCGTTTAAAACTGCTATGCAAACATCTCATATTCTAAGTTACTGGAACCTGTGTGCTGAGGAGGAGTGGGAGTGGGCTGAGAGGACTGTCCTCAGTTAGGACTGGGTGCCTGAACAGCACTCCTGCTGCTATTCGCCTCTGCCATTGGCCCTCCCAAGTTGCCCTTGTGAAAACCTGCCAATTCCCTCCTCTTGGTCCCTTTTCTCACTTTGGAGGTAAAAAAGGAAAAAAAAAAATCCTTCTCAGTTTTGAGCCAAACCAATGCCTATGAATTTTATGCCAAATTATTATCTTTATGGAGTAAATGCATCTTTTTTTCTCAACAGATGTTCTCTTGGTAACACAGGTAGGAGGTGGCAGCCCAGCTCAGGCAAATTCCAGCCTCAGACTCAGGGTGTTTTCTACATTTCCTTATTTATTGACCAAGAGAAGCAAGGGCTGCTTAACTCCTGTCACCTACACTTGTGGTTCTAGTAGTTTTTGTTATGACCTCCTGCCTTCAAGATCAATTTTAAAAATAAATGCAAATATATATATTGAAACCAAAGTATATAAGTAAAAACTATGTTTGACTCATTGGCACGTATAAATTCGTGGCCAAATGTCCTTTAGAAAAAAACAAACAGCTTTGATAGTACATAATGTGATTTTTCTTTAAAATGATTGTTATTTTTAAAACACATTAAATTCCAAGTTAAAACTATTACATTCTCTGCGCGCCAGTGATGCTACTATACCCCCTCAGGGGGCAGTGTTGGGGTCAGAGAGCTGTGCAGCTCCTTCCAAAACCAGCTCTCCTACTGGCTGGCAAGCAAATTCCAAGGGATAGACAGGATTAAGGGCTCCAAAGAGGATTCCCCAGCCCTCCCTGAAAAGGAGGATCAAAAACTCTGGTCTAGTTCTGGAACAAAAATAAGCCAAAGGGAAGGAGAAAGTTCCAAAGTTTGCACCCCTCCCAGGCAGGCGAGGGAGAGCCCTTTTAAATAGGCAGTGTGCGAAGTGGGTCCAACCCCATGAAGGAAGGTTCTGTGGCCCTTCTCTGGTTTCCTAAGCAGAGTCAGACCCTGCAGTGAGGCCACAACCCCAAACCCCTTCTAGCTGCTTTTGGTGATTCTGCCAAGAAGCACAATTGTGAGCCATCCAGAAAGCACTTTGCATGAACGTCTATTTTTCCTCTCCTAAACTTAGGCCCCAAAGGATTAAGGTAATAATAATAATAATAATAGAAACCCTGCTTATATCGTGTTGCAATTTGCCTCTTGTCCAGGAAGAAACAACCCCCCTCCAGCAAAACAGCCCCCTCTCCACACTTCATTTCATCACCGCCTTCATCAAACTGCCCCATGTAGAGTGGGAGTCTCCAGTAGGGATGGTGGCACCAAGCTCGGACTCAGTGCAAACACGTCCCAGCAGCACACGCGGTAACCCATTAACTCAGAGGAATCTGGGGTCACTGCGGACCGTTTTCTATTAATAGAAGATAAAGCTCCTGCAAACATTAGCGGTAATGCCCTGGCAACCTGCACAAATTAACTCCTCCCTGGCCAGCAGGAGGAAACCACGTTCTGCTGGTAGCTGTGTGCTTGAAATATGCGTGTACACCTACACACACGGGGTTTTAGAATTGCTCCCCGTAAACATGCCAGATTTCACTCCCATCCCGAGTCCTAGCGGTAAGGGTCATTCCGGGAGAGGGGCGTCCCTGGGGAAGGAGAGGTGGCGGTCAGGAAGGAGCTGAGCGGCAGGCTATCAGGTGTCGGTCAGCTCAGCTTTGCCACGCACACGGCCAGGGCCACAGCCGCCAGCAGCACGGCGCTGAAAACAGTGGCAGCCAGGGCCTTGCTCGGGTCGCAGGGCCCTGTGCGCTCTTCCACGGACACAAAGCCCGCCGAGGAGGCTCCAGCACTGAACAGGAGTTCGGCGCCCGCCGCCTGCCGGGCTTGCACCGTCCAGCGGGGCACGTTGACCTTCATCTCCAGGTCGTGGATCATCTTGCCCACCTGAAGGATCTCCCGCTCCAGCTCGCGCAGATCGTCTGCGTCGAAGTTGCGCTCTGCCTCGTGCCGCAGGGTGCGGACGCTCAG